GTTTTCTTAGGAACACAGTGGTCATTCTGGATGTTGGACCAGAAATCTTCTGGGCAACTGATGCACTCCATGGAATCTATAAAAAGAGGAAATTGTGTATTATAAAGCAGTTTTGTTTTTTTGTTTAATCATTGTTGAATTGGAAATTCCCAAATTGTATCCACAGAAAGTCTGCTTGTTTGATTTAATTTAAGTTGCCATTGGTGTACTTTAAGGTAAGTAAAGTTCTCAATATTGTCTATTGAGTTTTGCACATTAATCCCCAAAGAACAGAGAAATAAATTGTTTTATTTCCAGGTCTCAAACACAACAACAAAGCGGAATACTGACAAATGAATATTATTATTGAAAAACAACATTTAATGTACAAGTCTAAAATGTGTTCTTATTACAGGGAAAAGGGTACAGAAAGACAGGTGATACAGTTTAACTTTTATCTTGTCTTAGCGTTCTGTACTCCATTCTACTGAGCAGAATACTGTAACGTCAAAAACTTTACACTTACTGGTTGCATTGCTGATCTTTCCCCCAGAACAAGGAACACAGTCAAAACAGCAGTCAGGTTGCCCTTTTTTTCGGGCCATGCGAGTACCTGGAGGACAGCTGTCACTACAAACTGACCGAGGAGGCTGTATGGAGAAAAGGCAGAATCTCTAACGCCACCATCTACCATTTTGTTTTATACTTTCCACCAATGATGGGCAGTAACAAGTTATAATAATGTTACTATGATCAAATTACTTTTATCAAGTAATAAGTAAAGTAGAGGATTACTATTGTAAAAACATTAATTAGATTACTGATATCCAAAAATACAATACATTGAGGGCAACTGGTCAGAGTAGATTTTTTTGAAGACGTTTCACCTCTCATCCAAGAGGCTCCTACAGTTCTGACTGACTACTGGGAAAATCGGGCATTTAGCTTTAAACGGGCTGCATACCTATAACAAGGGTCATTGCAGAAAGGGGGGATTGAGATGTGATGGACCACACCCCATTCTAAGGAGGGCGGAATGTAAAGTCACAAGGTCAGAGGTGTATAAGGCGGAGTGATACCATAGCTATAGACTAATAGTTTCACCTGAGCTACACTTTTGGCTGAGTGTCCTTTGACACTCAAAGGACACTCGAGGTCTTGACAACAAGTCTTGACAACAACAATTGTTGCCACAACCTGACAACAAGTGTGGTCTTGTTGTCAGGTATGGGTTGAATTTTTGGGGGAGAGAACTCAGGATAACATTAGAGGTGGATGAAAGGTTGTGTCTCAAAACAGCTTCTCTATTGAGAGATAGTTTCTCCAGATTGACGTAGATGACTTCCTTCACCCTTCTCAAACCATCTGTTTTCTCTGGTGAGGATATATACATCCTCATCCACAAAAGTGTGTCCAATATACACCGGAAACAGGTCCGATATACTGCAGGCAAAGCAAACCAAGCTCCTGCTCCGATCGTACAGGGAACAAACAACCCCTAGCAGAGGCCCCACGACCCCATACTTCCGAAGCACTTTATTTACTAGTTTATGTCAAATACTATTCATGTTGTGATTATATTTTTAATAATTGTGTGAAAACAAACCAAAATAAGAGTAAGTTAGTAAGTACCTTCTGTTTGTAGCTTTAAAGGCCAGTTTATGTTGGACCTTAAAAGTTTCACTTTCTAGCTAAATGTAAAAAAAAATCGAATCTCGTAAATGTGTCACTAACATGGTGTAAAAGAAAAGAAAACCAACCTTTTTAGGATCAAAATTCCAGAAGATTTTATCTTCATCCAGAGTGAGTTCTTCACCTTTCAAGGATGACCTTTTGACCTCACCAACATTTTGAACTTTAGTCCTTCCATCAGGCAGCCATGACCAGTTCATGATGTCATATATTGGTAAGGCGTCACCATTCTCATCGAATGACACTTGATCACCAAATGGTGTGGTGAAGTTGACTTGTTGCAAATAGTGCAAAAGCTGTAGAAATCAGTAAGGATAAACTTAAAAAGAGAATAAAAGGTCTAGTTCCTACAGAATTAAATTCTAAAAGGCAAAGTATACCTTTCCCAAAAGATAAACAGTGATATTTTCAAAAGGAGGATGTTTCATTGAACCCATGATCAAAGAAATCATATCAGATTTAACTTGTTTATGCATAGTCATATTTACCATTTTCTAATGAGTTTCTCTTAAATGCAATTTAAATGGAATTGTATATTCACCTGAACATCATAAACATGTACAGTATGTAATGGTTTATGAACACCTTGAGACCAATGCATCTGATTACAGCTCACTGCACTACTGAGCCTGAGAAACATACTGTATATAAAGCAAAAAATCTTTGGAACTATTTGTCTTTGTTTGTATGGCAGCTGTGATTCATTTTTGTTCTAAAAAGAGTGGAATCTGCAGCAATGTTTCATAATGAGAAGATAGAGAAAGCAGAGGCTTGCTTGTGATCACTAACAGTTTTATATATATATATATATATATATATGTGTGTGTGTGTGTGTGTGTGTGTGTCCACTGCTCTGGGCTACATATATTTTATTAGCTCTGAACATATTTAAAGTAAAAATACTAAATTAGCACTTTTTCTGTCCTAGCTCAAATTTTGGCTGATGTCTATATATATATATGTGTGTGTGTGTGTGTGTATGACTGTGTGTGTGTGTGTATGACAAAAAAAATATGAAGGACTGTATGAGACTGAGAGGTAGATTGTTAACTGCCAACACACCTGCCATGGTTCCAGTCTTTGTAAATGAGCACAGGTGTCTCCACTGAAAGGTCCTCTTCCTGG